TGTCATAAAAGAATTTTATCGATAATTTTAAATATATTTATTTTAACTATAAATATACTTGGAAAATTTATTTAATAAAATGACTTAAATGTAAAATTTGAATGCAAATTTCTTTGAGGAAAATACAATTACAAACATTCAACTAGCATTATTGATTTTATTGTAATTATATCTTTTTTTATATAATCTCTTCTACAAAAATTGAATTAGGTAAAATTAATTTATAAAAATTTTATGAATTAATTTTATCTAAATCAATTTTTGGGTTATTTTTTTTATAATTATATAAGTTTTTACTGAATCTATTGATTGCTGTATTTGTGTATTTATGAATTCTGCAAAAATTCATATTATAAAATATTTTTGAGCTTTAATAATGATGAAATTAAAGAGTTAAAGAAATAAAAGATTAAAATTTCTGTAGTAAGTAATATAATATTTTATGCAAATTTCTTCTAAATATTAGAGATTTAGTGTACTTTGCTCTATCTAGTATTTTAATTAATATTATATGAAGAGAAATTTAGCTATTAATAATTTATATCATGTTTTTGAATTTTGTTTTACCTAAAACAATTTTAAATCTGTTTGATTAATCTAGTCCACATTTTTATGTAAATTTGACATAAGTTTTTATTCCATATTTGATTAACTTAATGAAATTTAGTTATCTGTTAAATAGCATTAGGGGGTGTTTTGTCTACGTTCTTGTAAAACCACCGCTGGCAACACACGTGTTTTTCTTTAGATAGTTAAGGAATACGAGTCTCCTGGGACTTTCTTAGTATGAAAACGAAAATCCTCTGCAGTAAAAATAGTTTTTACCGTACTTTAAGGTTTGTAACTAGAATGAAAGGGCACTTTCCAAAGTTCAACTGCAATTCCCCATTGATTAACTTATGACGTCAAGAACAATTCAATCATTCAATACTAGCGTATTCGAGGAAAGATTTGTTGAGAGAAAACTAATCATAATGAAGATGAAGAAAATATAAAACACGTTAAGTCTACAAAGTTCATGAACTCCACTATTTTATCATTAAGAAATAGTGTNTGTCTTGGCTACTTTAATATTATTTTTACGTGTTTTAGCTGGCAACACTCATTCGACCATGAAAGGGAGCCAGTATTTAAACGAAGCTTAATTTTCTAATTTTTAACGATATAATAGCGACGATTATTATTTTAAAAGATTTTTGTTAGGCTTAACATCGATAAAAATTCAACGCGAAGTAAGTTAATAGCGATATACTAATATACAATTACATGGGATATGATAATATACTACACTAATAATGGATTTTTTCATACTTTTCGGTTATCCGACTTTTCAATTATCCGACCAACCCCAGACCCCAATTATGTCGGATAATCGAGGCTTTACTGTATTTATTTGTTAGAAAAATTGAAAGTGTCTGTAGATGTAATTTTTTAAAATATCCTTCTTCGTGATAAAGTTTTAATACTCATTACTATAATCTAGACACGTTAATCCTTAAATAATAAAAGTAGAAAAAATAATATTAATTTTATTTAATTTGAAAGTTGAGTTAGATTTCTTTATTAAACTAATATGTGCATTTTGGTTATATCAATACCCTACTCCAATTTGGTTTTTGTTTTTCTGTTTTAATATGATGTTTTAAAAGTGGTTTTAATTCTTCCTTGTGATATTTTGGTTGATAAATTTAATATCTGTTTTTAATATTTTAAGGCTAACGCAAAACGCAACGCTGCTTAAGAGCATTTTTACAATCTCCAGACCCTTCAAACAGGACATCTATTATATTTACTTCTAAATAACGGACACTGTCGTCTATAACTAACCTTACAAAAACGTAAAGTCGCGCCTTCAATATTCTGAAAGAATTAATTTGGTACGAAATATTTTAAAACTAAAAGTATCGGTTCGAATACTCTTTCAAACGACGCATTTTCACTATAGGCGCGCTGAAAGTAAGAATGGGGAGGAGGGCGTGTTGTAAAAAGCCGAATAATACTCTGTGTGTTAGAAAACACTAATCTGGTTAAGTTGTCAATTATTACTTATCGTCATACGTATTAGTGTCATTAAAGTTTGTCTTATTGTTGGAATTAAGCTTACAGTACCGAGAAACCATAAACTTTTCCCGAATTATCATTCATTCCACAAGAACCGTAGTACAGTAGTAACGAAAAAGAAACTTAAAACGGTAACGACAACGGCGCTTATTGTAGTGAATGGGGTTTCTCATTTCCCGGTCTTCCGCTTGTCCCGGGATTCCGGGATAAAAGTGAACTATTTCTCGGGATAGAATTAATTATTTTTAAGATATACAAAATTTAATGAAATCAAATGACATAATTATTTTTCCTTTTTTAAAGTAATTTAATACGTTCTGTAACTTCCAAAATCATATTAATAATGCTATGTAAGATATATATTAAAAATTATCTTTGAATTACGTAGAAATTTTCACAAATAAAAATTTTATTAAAGTTTGCTGGAAACTGCATACAAAAAAGTGCTTTGAATTGAATTAAAAATTTAAAAAAATGAACTTAGATTAAACTTCTAACTTAGAAGGTAATTTCGTTTTTTAAATAAAATATAATACAAAATATTGTAAATTTTCATAAGATTTTAAAAAACAAAGACGGTCAATACTGTACTCCGATCACTCGATCTGGTTCTTATTTTAGTAATGAAAAGTCCCGCTACCGAGAATGCCCTTGCCGATTCGATTGATGCGATTGGAATCGTGTTTAATGCATTTTAGAGAAGACAGTTATTATATGTTTTTCACATGTAGCCTGGAAGATTTCTACTTCATTTTCGAGATTGTAGTAAAGATCATACTTCTTTTGCTCTCTAATATTCTTGCTTTGTCTACCTCGACTGCTTTAATAGAAATATCATAATCCAATAATTCAGCAGTTCGTTTGTCTTTAATAATCAGCTTATGAAGAAAAACTTCATACTTACATACTTCGTATTCGTTTGTATCCTTGCCAATTTGCACAACTTGGCATTACGCAGTTATCGAAGCTACTGGGCGTGGTTAAAAATTAAGACAGCGTAAGCGCAATTATTCCAGATATTACACGTTCTGACAAGTAAAAAATTTTGAGTCCTGCCGCAAAAAAGCTACGCATTGATTATTGACCATTTGTGACATGCCACAACGAGCAAAAATTAAAAACTAATAAGTAGGTTTAAAATTAATAAATACAAATGTATTCCGACAGTTTATGAGTTAATTATGCTTTCTATTTACAAAATTTCCTTAATCTTAACACAAAATAAAAAGTGAATTTTTAAGAAATTTGCGGGATTTCCCGGGTTAAAAAACAACCGGGATCCCGTTTGAGAAACCCTAGTGGTGAAAGTTTAAAGGTCGTGTTATAAAGATTTGCTAGGCACTTTAAAGTGTAAGAAGATATTCAGTCTTATGGCATTTATAACGTAATTTATGATCTTAATAGATTTGTGGTGACTTCGGTGTAAATTTTTTTTATAAATCATTTATTGGAAAAACCAAGAATGTTCAAAAATTACACCTACTTGATAACTACAAAGCAGACAAATCCATATATCGATTTTTATTAGACGCTTAGATCATAAATGATATAAATGCAAGAATATCGAGCAAATTTCCAACTCTTTGAAGAGGGTGAAATTTATAAGCGCCTTTCCTTAATGTCTAAACTGAGACCGCCGGATGGCCGAGCCGGTCAAGATGGCAGCCTCCTGCTCTGTTAGACTCCGGTATCGAAACCAAGCGAAAAATCCCTGTAGGCCCGGCCAAACACGTTCTATGTCTTTGAACTCACCTGCAAATTTATCTGGCTATAATAAATAAATACCAACAGTGTTAACTGAGACATTTTTCTCAATAATGGCAACTCTCATATCTGCAATATCAGATAAAGATGCAACATTATTTGATGTTATTCTGAGACAGTGTTTCTTAAACAAAAGATTACATTTTTAGAAAATATGCTTTTCAGGGGACAAGAAAACATCAGGAGACTGCAATTTCATAGAACAGTGATGGGCAAACTTTTTAAAGAGCGGGCCAAAGGAAAAGAAGAAAACTTTAGGCGGGCCAATATAATTGTAACCTAGCGCTGCATCTGAAAATCCAGATGGCGCTATAAAAACATGTGCAGGCCGTCCGCCATATTTCTTTTTCTCTCTTTCGGCTACGCTACGCACGACGAGTGAATGTTCTGTACCGAAGCATGCTTGTAACCGATCGAGCTTTTACTCAATAAGTGTAAAACAAAAGTTTGTACATGATTGTAAATAAACGTTCGTGGTGAGATATAAAGCTTCGGTTATTTTATATAATCAACGAACACTCAAGTTAAGTGGTGCATCAACCACCACAGCCTGTATTCTTTTTTACTCGTCAGATTAGGAATAATGTCGCGCGGGCCGGATAGAACATTTCAGGGGGCCGCATCTGGCCCGCGGGCCGTAGTTTGCCCATCACTGCCATAGAACATATAAGAGGATTGAAGTCATTCTTTTTTCGAAGATGGATGGACTGTAAGTCTCTGACATGTTCAGAACGCAACACAAATATTCCTCCCAACTCGTAGCATCTACTTGTCTTAATATTTTTCCGGGACTTTGCATTTTAGGTATACCCATTTCATCCATTTTATATACAGTATGTTACAGCATTAAAAAACTTTGGACATAATCTAAGTTTGCTTCTTTGTTGTTATCGCTTTATTTCTACGTTTTCGAAGAAAAGATTCAATTCTATTTTATTAAACCATGTCAATCTATTCACATATGCAGGGCCGGCCCGAGAAGTAGCGGGGCCCGGTGCAAGAATGGAAAATAGGGAAAAAGTATAATATTCAAATTTGAAAAAATGCTCAATTAAAGCAAATAATAATAATAATTATTATTATTATATACTACTGTACTTAAAATGAATTTTCTTTAAACATTTATAAGTTTTGAATTATTAATTGAAATTTTAACATATTATTCCGCTAGGGGGCGTTATTTAAATATGAAGTGGCATGGATGAAAATGATTATTTTATCGTGAAGTTATTTGTTTTCGAAGATTTATTTGAATTAATTTCCGAATGGCCGCATTGTGTTTTGGAAAATCTTGCTTTCTAAGAGGTGCAATTTTTATTTTAGACAGAAAAATTTTAATGTTTTTAAATTACATCTTCATATATTTTGATCTTAAAACATTTTAAATAAATTTAATGTGAAGTGAAGAAATCATTGAAATATTAATTTAAGATATATTCTTATAATATCTCTTTAATATGTCAAGTTTTTACTATTAGAAATATTCAAGTGGAAATACTGTACTATGAACTGATTCAATTAAATAATATCCTGCACCTAAATATAACTTGCTAAACAATATGTTAAATGGTTTAGAATGCTAAGAATAATGAGCTTACTCTCGTTAATCCGAACAAATTATTGCAAAGAATGTTGGTAAGATGTGAACTCTGAATGAGGGGTTTTCCGCCCCAGAATTGTAGACCTCGGATACTGAGACACTATCAAAGTGTACACTGTTCAAACGCAAAATTTATTTTCATTTTGCTTATACAGTAATACTCTGAGTTTCGTAACATGTATACATGTGTAACACGTATGCATGTGTACCATTTCTGGTACACATGCATACGTGCTTACAATTAGACTGGAAAGTAAAGGATTGCTCCACTAATCCTTTACTTTCCAGTCTAATTGTAAGCACGTATGCATGTGTACCAGAAACTCTTTCTTGTAAACAAGATTCTTCTATAGTACTCGGTAAAGGTTGAGCAGCAAAACCAAGCACATCTTCATTGTTTGTTTTTCTATATGTATTGTTTCACGCAGGGCTGTGGAGTCGCGTAAAAATCTACCGACTCCAACTCCGACTCTGACTTTTCCTTATTATCCGACTCCGACTCTGTTTCATATACATAACAAGTTGGTAAGTAAACGGGAGTCGGCGGATTTTTTGACGACTCCGGCTAAAACACCAAAACACCACGACTCCGACTCCACAGCCCTGGTTTCACGTCATCAGTGTAGTTTGCCTTGAGTGATTTGTTTAAGACATAACCTGTTTACTGCCACTACATTTAGGTAGTGTTTGTTGTTTATTTACAGTACTGTACTGTTAAAATGCAATGAAAATGACAAACCAAATTTGTTGATAATAAACAAAAAAAACAAAGGTTTGCAATTACAATAGAGCATCAGTTATCTGAATTCTGAACCAAAACATTGGTTAACTGAAAGCATTCCAGTCGGCAAATTCAAATTTTCACTAGGGCTGTGGCATTGCAACACTCTTCCCCTCCTTGTCAAACTAAACTGTAGACCTAGTTTAATGTATTACATTATGTAAGATATATATTTGTAAGACGTGTGATACAAATTATATACAGTACAGTTTTGTGTTTAATATATTTTTTGTAAATGACCAGTTATCCAAACAACCCCAGTCCCGAATTGTTTCAGGTAATCGATGCTCTACTGTTCTTTAGAAGAAAAATTAAAAAACAAATTCTTTATTTTGTTTATATTGTACTTTGTATTTCTATTGTTCTTTTATACAAAAAAAATAATAAATAATATATGTACAGTACACATATAATAATACATTTGTACACATATACAATACAGTACACATTTGAGTTATGTAGAGATCTATGGTCTGCATTATTTATGTAACTAGGGGTATCACTGTAAATGCCATATAATGAATATTTGGAATAATTTTGTTGTTTTACCTGTTTCATTCATTAGAATTAATGATTAATGTGTTAATTAATTTGGAAAGCTTAAAAAAAACATTAATTTAGTATGGCATTTTCCAAGAAATTTAAATTGTGTTATTTAATATGTAGTACTGCAAATTTACATTAATTTATTACAATTAAATACAGTTCAAAACTGTGCAAACTTTACCAGTAACTTAGTAAAAATAGCCAGAAAAAAGTTCAGATTAGCAGAAGTGCACTGTATTATTAATAGAGTACATGCTTCTTATTTTTTCAGAATATTTCTTGTTACTTTCCCAGCTGTTATTTATACATAACAAGGGAAAGTATTGGAATTGTGTCCAGATTTTGAGACCTCTGAACCTAAAAAAGTAAAAGAAAAAACAAACAAATTATTCCACTGAAGTGTGTGTGTTGACAAATATTTCATTTATTATCTCAGGATGGGATGAAGATTAACCAATGAAATTTGGCATGGTAGCTTGTGTATAAGGAGCATTGATACTATTAAATTCTGGTTATGAAAGACAAAGGGAATGGAGAGATATATGATAGTTGTGTCATATCTCGCAAGGATCAGACTTAATAAAGATTTTATTTGTTGTTAACATTTACAGTTTTTTTTATAAAACTTATCTCTATCCTCCAAATTAAGCATTTTCCATTTTATAATAGTTAAAAATATAGAAAATTTTTATAAAAATTCTCATAATACATGGTGCCAAACAAAATTTTATTTATTTATTATGATTAATAATATAGTTACTTTTTAAATAAAATCTCCTAACTGCTGGGAAAGTTATGCAACTTGTTGCTAGATTTTTTTTATTGCTATTGTTTATCAAGTTATAATATTATATGATGGCTTTGCTACTATAATATTGATAACAAAGATTACAGATTATAATTATTGTGTAATCTTTGATGAAAATGGTGGTAAAACTGGTTGACTATGTAGCAATGCTTTGCTCATCAATTAGATTAACTGATTGTTAATTGTAATTAGACATCTTGTTGAATCATGATTAGCAATGTGGTAAAATTTATCAAATAAAATTATTTTTCTTGATAAAGATGTGCAAGTAATATAGAAATTTAACAGTATATAATAATTTCCTGAGATTTTGAATAATGTATATCAAAGTAAAGAGTATAGATGATTTCAAAACTACTGAAAATTGTTTCTAGTTACATTTTTAATAAACACAGTTCTTTTTATTTCTATTCAGGACTGTAGTCTTTCAAAAACTAACAATTTCATTATTACATGGAGGGCTTATATGGTAGAACCCTGATTATCCAAGTGGATTGATGGTACTTGTATTCAGGTACATCAGTCCACATCAGTTTAAGATAATACAGACTGCTGCAGTTATTTTCAATTAAAAGATTTATATGGTATCACTTTTAAGCCATATTTTTATGTCTTACTGACTTTAATCATAAGAACACTTTGGGTAAGCTATATTTAGTATGTTTTTCATTACATACAACCAGTTTTTGTAAGAAGTGAATATGGTAAGAATAATTTTTACATAATTTATTATAAAGATAATATATACAATAGTTATACTATGAATGGTTCATCTCACATTGAAGTTAAAATGATAAATGGAAACTAATACAAGTTTCTTTAAAAGACCTCTCAAGAGTTAAGAAAAGTACTGCAAACAAAATGTTGGATAGTCAAGGTTCTGCTTGTTAAGTTAAGGCAAATCAACACTTAGGTGATCTGCCTAGAGGGATGCCTTCCAGGAGGTCTTTTGAAGGTTAACTGACCCTGTTACAGATGTGGAGAAAACCCGGTGAACTCCACACGATCAGCCCTTCCCAGCAAGGCCTAAACCCACGATTGAACTCCCAGTGTTCAGAGAATGGAACCTCTTGGCCACTGGTGGGCCTAATCAAGGTTCTACTCTTTCTATTTTGAACTTGAGACTTATTTTATTGTAAAAATATTTATTTCAAATGTTTTGTTTTTCTTCATATTTTCCTTTCAATTATCACATACCTNTTTAGCTATTAATAATTTATATCATGTTTTTGAATTTTGTTTTACCTAAAACAATTTTAAATCTGTTTGATTAATCTAGTCCACATTTTTATGTAAATTTGACATAAGTTTTTATTCCATATTTGATTAACTTAATGAAATTTAGTTATCTGTTAAATAGCATTAGGGGGTGTTTTGTCTACGTTCTTGTAAAACCACCGCTGGCAACACACGTGTTTTTCTTTAGATAGTTAAGGAATACGAGTCTCCTGGGACTTTCTTAGTATGAAAACGAAAATCCTCTGCAGTAAAAATAGTTTTTACCGTACTTTAAGGTTTGTAACTAGAATGAAAGGGCACTTTCCAAAGTTCAACTGCAATTCCCCATTGATTAACTTATGACGTCAAGAACAATTCAATCATTCAATACTAGCGTATTCGAGGAAAGATTTGTTGAGAGAAAACTAATCATAATGAAGATGAAGAAAATATAAAACACGTTAAGTCTACAAAGTTCATGAACTCCACTATTTTATCATTAAGAAATAGTGTTCGTTTTAAGTAATAACTTCAACAATAATTATTACAGTTATTATCGTTACTTTTTATTATAGACTTTAAACAAATAAAAAATGGACGAACATAATTGATTTCATAAATTTCATACATTATTTCCAATAATTACTCTTCATATTGAATTTTATAACGATTTATCATCTTTTAATTTCCCACATATTTTAATTATAATTATTATTGTCTTTAATCAGTTTACACTATCATTGATAACGAAATAATATTCTTCTATCACTCTATGACGTTGTTTAGAACACAGGTTCATCGAAAGGTATGGAGCCATGGGGTAGAGCAGACCCCCCCCCCTTTTTTTGAACAAATGAAAAACGTGATGAGATTAAGAAAGTTTTGCTTAAATCATTTTTCTCATTACTGATTTATAAGTTAAACTTTGGAACGTACCCAAACGTATCTATCTGTCTATATATATATAATCGAGGTGGGTTAATAATAATAAGCGCAAAGCCCAAACGGTTAGGAGTTGAAAGTTGAAATTTGGTACACAGAGTACGCGCACTAAAAAGGGATTTTTCGAAATTCCCCCCCCCCTGCAGGGGAGAGGGAGAGGATTAAGGATTACTCTGAAGAATTAGGCTTCTATGTACTATTTTAGATACATTTTTACGCATTTTTGCGGGAAATCGAACATAGTTTTAGACAGACCCATGTAAAAAGTTTCTAATAAGTCTCGGAAGAGGAGGCCTAATTTTTGCCCCCGGGTCGAATTGGAAAGAAAACTTTTTCCACGGGCCGAACCAGAGGCTGCCCTAGGAAGATTTTGAGGCGACGCGAGATCCCATTATGGTGTCACCCCATAG